GCTTTTTTATGATAATCAATGATTTATTTGTTCGATCTGTTGTCTATACATACTTTATTCTTATGTTTTCCTCTGTCCTTCAACATGAGATATTCCTATTCTACCAGTTGTTCGAATGTAGTTGATTTGATTTCCTTTTTAGTATATCATCTATTATGTTTCTTACTGATGAAATGCACTTGTGAAGAAAACGAATACAAAAATTAAATAAATAATCTTAAGTTCAAGAGAAAATTAGTTGAAGTCCTAAAACAAATCGCTTGCCCAGTTAAAAACTTAACATAAAGCTTGGTACATGCACAAGTCAGTTCGAGTTACAACATCGCATTTGCACCACAAGATCAAACTATCAAGACAAATCACAGATTAATAATAATATTATTATTATTATTAATAACAGTAAGTGTGGAAAAGAATAGAAATAAACAGTATGATATGAGAAGTAATGAATTAAGCGAATAAATTGAAAAGTATAAGATAATTTTGGAACTCAAAATCTAAGGGAAGACAAAATGTGAATGTACCTGCACCACTGCGACAAATCCTGAACATTACTGCCGGACTTCTGAAATCCCGATCACCACAGTTGCATAGACCCCAACCTAGTAATCTGATTTGGTCTATATGATACAACCCGACAGTTACTGAGTTCATGGACTGATGCAATGTCTTGCATCGGTCACCCCAAGCTTTCTGCCAGCCTACTCCAATGCTAGCCAATATCTTCCATCGAGATAGGTGGAGGTTGGGCATAAGTAATGCATGGCCAACCAATTCACTTCATGAGAGTTCATTATCAAACCCGACAATTTAATATCCTTACCTGGTACTCTTCATTTAACTTCAGCGTTGATTCAAACGTGTGAAAGAAATACTTTGAGAAATTTGTGACAAAACATCAATAACCTATTAATACCCTCTAATTTTTTTGTACGGAATGAGTAAACTTCTTGAGCTAATAGTATTTGTAAGGTGGTATGTTAAATAACTTTTAGCTCTGATAAAACCCAACAATTTATTTTGACTATATACTCGATATTGATATGCATAGATGATAAGCATCTAAAAATTTCTTTTACACCACATATCGAGTGATTGATCAAATTTAACACTGATTAAGATTTCATTCAATTAGTTGGTTTATTTACCCAATTGAAGCACTGTTCATTTGACTTATAACCTTGGATCTTATTAACCAGTTGAAATAAAGAGTACAGTAAGAATGTTTAGATTATTTTTACTGTGGAATCAATTTACAGTTGTCAGTGTCAAACAATTCAGGTTGTGTAATTTTGCTTGAACAATCAAAAGCACATACTCATTCATTTGATTAACATAATAAAAAAATTAATTTTTCCAACTAAATCAGTATGAGATTACTAGTAAGATGAAGAAGATTGTTAACCGTATTGTGAAGATGAAGTAAGAAATTTAATTTTATGGAAAGAAACTACCTTTTTTTCTTATTCTTCCATAGCGACCATATTAGAGTATTAACAGTTGGATATTGTAATGTATAGTAATATGTTAACAAACAGTAAATTTGCACTTGAAAATAATATTTTATTTAACTGATGTAAGTCCCTAAAATATATCATGAATATCGCTTTTAAATGTGAGATTCTTGGTGTTTCCAGGATTGTTAAGTTTACCTGATAAGATAACATCATTTGTTTTTGACCGAGGTTTCAAGGCTGTTAATTGTTTACTATAATAGAATTCAACCTTCAGAGTATAAAGTAAATGTAAGATTGTATTTGCACATAGTGTGTTACATAACTTATTGATCTATATACTTGGAATCTATATGTTCTTAATAGTCTTATAGAATTAACAAAGCTTTTTAACCAATACTTCCATAAATACTAAACCATATACCTAACAGTTCTTTCTTTATTTGTGGTTTTCTTTCATTCGGATCATAACAGCATATAACGATAAACTCAGCATGAGAGGCAATAAAATCTTTTGTTCTAATCCCACGGTTATCAGGTTAAAAAGACTATGAACTATAATCATCTGGGGCTAATTGTGATAAATGGTACATATAATTAGACATCACTCCCAAACAGTTTTTCTGTATAACACGAAAGTGAGTTTCAAGACAGATGAAGGGGGTTAGAGCACAACAAATCAACAGTCTTCGGAGCTATTATCAGTTTTCGATTGGGTTTTGTTGGCAAATACTGACTAATTGATTAGGGTCCTAAAGCTGATATTGTTCTTTGAAAGCTATAGATAACATGGTTAAATATCGGTTTCAGAGACAGAGATGTATCCATTCTTCATTTTCCTCGAAACACTGAGTTTACAAGTTGTTCCTTTCTATTCTCTTCTTACTTTCATACATGTTTTGAAAATTGTACTTTCTTTATGTGATTTGTTACTAAACTCGATATTGTTAATTCAACTGTATAGTTTCGAATTCTTCTCATTACATTCATTTACGCTAACATGAAGTGTAGAGTGATACACATTTATATCAGGGTTTTGTTATTTACAACTATCTGATTACTAACATTAAAGCAAAAACCTATTTAGAATTGTATTCCTCCACCCATTTATCATACTGTATAGTCATTGAACACCAATATTCATATACTTAACTTAGTACAAAATGACACTTTTCATCATACTGATTTACCATTTTCATATTAACAGTAGTATTCTCTTTAAGATGTCTAGAGCAATCATACCGAAAAGTAATAAAATGATTTGGAATTGAACGATAACTGGCTTTTTATCCAAAATCTTCAACCAGATGAATGTCAATAAACTTTAATGAAAAAAAATTCATAAATAGAGTCAACAGAAAGCAAGATGAAGCAAAAATAGTGGTGAGAGTAGAGAAGATTCTCGTCACGTTGTATAAACATGTAACTATGTGAAATAGATAATATTAAGCCAAATTGTGAGAAGAAAATACCACATATACTTCCTATGACGCTTCAAATTTTCCCACCTTTAACTTATGTGACGTTGAATAGTGAATAAGATTGAAATAGCACGAAATTAAGTTACGTAATTTTATGATACTTAGGTTTATATTGTTCCTCCAGTCAATTATTTATTTCAAATCAAAATATTTCGTTTTTATGTAGCATATAATGCGGACTTATAAATAAACCCATTTGAATATTATGGGCTTGACTACCATCAATACTTAGTGATAATAGCAAAATTACATGACTTTCATCAAACTTTGTTTCAGTTTGAATGCTTTATTTTAATAACTATTCTCGTTGTTATAAAAATGAACTCGATAAATGAATTTTTCATTCCTTTTACGTGTGTATAAATATACTACTGTATGTATGATGTCGCCTATCTGATATACTATGAAACTACTCTATATTACATTTCCTTAGAAATACAGAATGTTAAATCGATAAAATTCTTATCATATTTATTTCTGTCTACAGTGATTTATTCGTGACACTGACATCTAATGTGAATATTCTAGTTATTAGTTAGTAAAAATAATTTATTAAAATCATTAACAATTACGTAGTAGATCACTTAATGAAAATTAGAGCCCATTGTATCATTCTGGATCGCTCACGATGTCGTTGTATTGATAATAAAATTGCATCTCTCTTTTGAGCTTCAAGGATAGGACCACTCTAAGTTGTATATATCTAATGATGATCTGTGGTTGATTATCGTTGTCTGCAGAAAAACTTTTCATTTAATTCCAATACTATATAATTTATACCCTGATCCAAATCTGTTTGTTCAAGCATCTTAGACGAATTTTACACTTGTTGTTCTACCCACTCTTAAACACTAATTTATTGGACGTCATGTTCATGTTGAAACGCTTAGGGGTTGTTATTTTCATTCATGGTTTTGTTTAGTAAATGATATGCGGAATAGAGGTCTTAAAAACACTGAGAATTAATTACTAAAGACGTCATTAAACGCGGTTAAAAATAAAAGCCATTGATATACCTATTGGAGTTTTTCATTATCGTTTTTAAAGACAATATACAAAATGTTTTATTTATACAAAATCTGTTTTCGTTATAATCTTCCTTATAGTTTACCACTTAATCCAAACTTCTTCAACATTTTAAAATGCTTTTGTAATACTGACTGAACCAAAGCATATACATTCATGTAGAAAGTTATGAACAATTAAATTAAAACGTTGTAAATAAACAGTACTTTTTATACAGGGCTATAGTACTGTCAATATCTGTTTAGTCCTTGGTAACCTGATGAAAATCTAGTTAACTTTTTAATAATATTAAGTGTTTTTAATCAACGTTAAGAAACATATATGAATTGGAGGTGACATGATCTAAAAGCAAAATCACTTAGAGTGCCGTTGAGATGAAGAGAGGACTTGAGAGTTATAATTTTAGCACTGAAACTCTCTATAGTGTCCGCTCTAAATACCGCTAAGGATAGAAGTCGTTGTATTCAAACCTCTTGGTTAGAGTCTAGTCCTTAGTCCACTGAGACGCTATCTATTGGCTCTTAATTTTAACCTCAATTATTTCATGATGATGAATGTCTTACTCTGGATACAGTTGATCTGTACGATTATACACTAGAATCCTGAGAACATAACTTGAAACAGCCCACTGGCCAGTAGCTGACTATTATAACTCAAATATTTAGTGGTTTCATGAGTTCATACTGCTGAGTACTTTCATGGTTAAACGAAACAGCTGTGAATTGTTCGTTAGTTTATTATTTATATCTCAGAAGATGCCTGTTCATCATAGTCTTTATTTATAAATTAAAACAATTTTGAAGTAACCCGACAACAATATAAGTTTCATAAATTGCTTATTCACATATTTTGTGAAGCTAGAATTAAATGACTTAAATGATGAATACTTAATTTTTTGGTTTAATGGGTTAGAAACCACCTAACATGCCTACTTGCACATTAATACTTATTTTGGTAAACCATAAATATTAATATTAAATTGCTTTTATCTAATTTGTCCTTTTGAAATAAATTCGAAATTTTTTTAACGTTTTAACAGTCCCATTTAAAACGACTATGGAGAAAAAGATCGACGAGTTAAAAAAACGTTTCGAAGAATTAGATAAAGATAAAGATGGCTCAGTGACACTGAAGGAATTCAAAGAGGAATTGTTAGTTCAAGGGTTTCCAGAATCCTTAGCTTCTGTAAGTTAGATTTCCGTCTTTTATTATTATAGAATAAATAAGCTGACTTTATATTGTTTTTTTTATACCCATACCTTGGAACTTTATGGACTCTTCTTAAAGTCGTGACTGTTAGATTTTGGTCATCTCAGATATCATTAGGTGACATTAAAATAAAATCACCGAAATGTCTAAAGTTGTTTTGTCCTCAAATGATCCGAAGATATTTTGTTCAATTTAGGATCTTATGCTTTTAGAAGTCTGTGAGGTTGTGAGTTCATATTGCTGAAGAGTCCTCATAACAGATTGAGTCCAATGGTTTTATAGCTGTTAAAAGTTTGTTATACTATCTAATTTAGGATCTAACAACTTAATAAATAATACAGGATAGTATAAATGAGAAACAATTAACTTTTGAAGTGTTCACACTGAATAAACTCCCTTATATGTTCTGATCCTATTTAACGTATAGAACTGTGTTAAGTCGCATACAAATCTCGCAAATTCTATCAACGTAGCAAAAAAATAAACACTTAAGTACTAATGACTCTTTTATTTATATTTTTAAAAATTTTTAATATGTTAAGACATAATTACTTTTTAGTTTCTAATCTTCACATTTGTTTTAAAATACCTTGGTATCATTGTTCTCTGTAAACATCTAAACAGACATCGCATTATCCACATAACCTTGATGATTTTTTTTGTTATTTTTCTTCATTAAAAAAACTTTATTTAAGAGTTAAAAGTATTCACAATTGAGAGTTAAATTAAGCTATTAATGTTATGATCATTTTCTAAGTACCAACCAACTTTACTTAATAACTGATTTAGTTTAGAATTACTCAACAAAGTGCATTGATTCTAGACAGTATTCTAAAAAGTTAAGGACGTCTAATGAACTGATTTCTATTTTAAACTTATGCAATTATCAAAACGTAAACTGATGCAATAGTACAACAGGATATCAGATAAAGAAAAAATGCAAACTCTAGAGTTAAACTCATCTACGTTTATGAAAAATACTAATCCATTGCACACACGTATTATAATTTGTTTTCTATAGTGTCTATTTTCAAACATATGTTAATTGTCCGCCAACAACTAGTCCGTTTTTATGAATAAAATTAATATATTTTGATGATCTCAGACTAATTTCAACATTAGAAATCTTTTCCTGTAATACACTGAACTGTAAAATGAAGCATATAGTTCCGCCTATAGCTCTTATAGGGTTACTGCCGGTCCCAAGCCCGGGTAAAGGAGGAGGGTTGGGCATGGGGTTAGCGTCCCCATCCCGTAGAAAACTAACTCGCTAAAAAAACGCTTACCAGAAAAAATAATCCAAACCATTTAAACTCTGCCCTGGGAGTTAGAAGGTCTTCAGTTAGAAGAATTATGACGCTTCATGGTGAAAGCCGAGTTCCTTCGGAAGCCACGAGGCCGATGCCCCTTCTAACAACCAGAGCAAAAATTTTTATAGGTACATGGAACGTTCGAACAATGTGGGAAACCGGGAAGACCAGTCAAATAGCAATGGAAATGAGGAGATACAACTTAGCAGTACTGGGAATCAGCGAAACCCACTGGACCCAAGCTGGACAGAAAAGGCTAGCTACGGGAGAGATGCTGCTATACTCCGGTCACGAAGAGGACAATGCTCCACACACTCAGGGAGTCGCTCTTATGCTGTCCAAAGTAGCACGAAATGCACTTGTAGGATGGGAGTCTCACGGATCCAGAATCATCAAAGCATCATTCAAAACAAAGAAGGAGGGGATCTTAATGAATATTATCCAATGTTATGCACCCACCAATGATAGCAACGACGACATTAAAGATCAGTTCTACGAGCGGCTGCAGTCAATCATTGAGAAATGCCAAGAAAGGACCTAACTATTCTGATGGGAGATCTAAATGCCAAAGTCGGAATAGACAACACTGGATATGAAGATATTATGGGACGACATGGACTGGGAGAAAGAAACGAAAATGGAGAAAGATTTGCAAATTTGTGTGCATTCAACAAATTGGTCATAGGAGGCACAATATTTCCACACAAGCGTATACACAAGGCTACATGGATCTCACCGGACCACACTACAGAGAACCAAATAGATCATATTTGCATCAACAAAAAATTCCGAAGGACAATGGAAGATGTGAGAACCAGGAGAGGTGCTGACGTAGCTTCAGATCACCACCTAGTTGTAGCCAATTTAAAACTGAAGCTAAAAAGAACTGGACAAGTGGACAAACAGCACTACAAAGGTTCAATACAGCCTTCCTTCGAGATACTGACAAACTCAATGAATTCAAGATAGCTCTCAACAACAGGTTCCAAGCCTTACAAGATCTACTGAAGAAGAAGAAACTACTATGGAGGACAACTGGAAAGGCATCAAGGAAGCATTAACTTCAACGTGTCAAGAGGTTCTGGGCCTAAAGAAACACCATCATAAGGAATGGATCTCTATAGAAACACTGGACAAGATCAAAGAAAGGAAGAACAAGAAGGCAGCAATTAACAACAGCCGAACACGAGCAGAGAAAGTCCAAGCACAAGCTGAATACATAGAAGCAAACAAACAAGTGAAGAGGAGCATTAGAGCCGACAAGAAGAAATACGTGGAAGAACTAGCAACGACGGCAGAAAAAGCTGCTAGAGAAGGAAATATGAAACAGCTTCACGATACAACGAAGAAACTAGCAGGGAAATACAGTAAACCAGAGAGGCCGGTCAAAGACAAAGAAGGCAAGCCAATCACCGAAATTCAACAACAGCGTAACAGATGGGTGGAATACTTCGAGGAACTCCTGAATAGGCCGGCTCCAATGAATCCACCGGACATCGAAGCAGCACACATAGATCTTCCTATAGATGTCAACCCACCAACGACGGAAGAAATTAGAATGGCCGTCAGACAAATCAAGAACGGGAAAGCAGCAGGACCCGACAACATACCAGCTGAAGCACTGAAATCAGACATCGAAGCAACCACAAGCATGCTTACCTTCTATTCAAAAAGATTTGGGAGGAGGAACAAGTGCCGATGGACTGGAAAGAAGGACACCTCGTCAAGATTCCAAAGAAAGGAGATCTGAGCAAATGTGAAAACTACAGAGGCATTACACTACTGTCAATACCAGGGAAAGTCTTCAACAGAGTGTTGCTGAACCGGATGAAGGATGCAGTAGACGCCCAACTTCGAGATCAACAAGCTGGATTCCGTAAGGATCGGTCGTGCACAGACCAAATTGCAACACTACGGATCATCGTCGAACAATCAGTTGAGTGGAACTCATCACTATACATCAACTTCATTGATTATGAAAAGGCATTCGACAGTGTAGATAGGAGGACATTATGGAAACTTCTTCGACACTACGGAGTTCCTGAGAAGATTGTCAACATTATCCGGAACTCATACGACGGACTACAGTGCAAAGTAGTGCATGGAGGACAGCTGACAGATGCATTCCAAGTAAGGACTGGAGTCAGACAAGGCTGTTTACTCTCTCCCTTCCTCTTTCTTCTGGTGGTCGACTGGATTATGAAGACCTCGACATCTGAAGGAAAACACGGAATACAATGGACAGCTCAGAATCAATTAGACGATTTGGACTTCGCAGACGACCTAGCCCTCCTATCACGTACACACGAACAGATGCAGATGAAGACAGCCAGTGTAGCAGCAGTCTCTGCATCAGTAGGCCTCAGCATACACAAAGGGAAAACCAAGGTCCTCAAATTCAAAGCGGAGAACAGCAATCCAATCACTCTTGATGGCGAAACTCTGGAAGATGTAGAGTCCTTCACATACCTAGGAAGCATCATCGATGAACAAGGAGGTTCAGATGCAGACGTAAAGGCGAGGATCGGCAAAGCAAGGGTCGCATTCCTACAATTGAAGAACATATGGAACTCAAAACAACTTTCAACCAATATCAAAGTGAGAATCTTCAATACGAACGTCAAGGCAGTTCTACTGTATGGAGCTGAAACTTGGAGAACTACAACAACCACAATCAAGAAAGTACAAGTATTTATAAATAGCTGTCTACGCAAGATACTCAACATCCATTGGCCGGATACCATCAGCAATAGCCTTCTGTGGGAGAGAACAAACCAACTTCCAGCTGAAGAAGAAATTAGGAAAAGACGATGGAAATGGATAGGACATACATTACGCAAATCGTCAAACTGCATCACGAGGCAAGCCCTAACTTGGAATCCTGAAGGGAAGCGAAAAAGAGGAAGGCCAAAGAACACATTGCGTCGGATAATAGAAGCAGATATGAAAAGGATGAATTACAACTGGACGGAGCTAGAAAGGATTGCCCAGGACAGGGTTGGATGGAGAATGCTGGTGAGCGGCCTATGCTCCTTCACGAGGAGTAACAGGCGTAATTAATTAATTAATTAAGTAAGTAAGTAATAAGTAAGTAAGTAAGTAAGTAAGTAAGTAAGTAAGTAAGTAAGTAAGTAAGTAAGTAAGTAATACACTGAACTGTAAAATGAAGCATATAGTTCTACAGTAATCTAGATTTTTATGACAAATTATGACTTTAGATTGATATATTTTTTGTTCTTTGACTTGAGACTATTTTATCTTTCATTCTTTATTATTTTTAATATACAGAAATTTATGGTAAAATTTGATCATGATAATGATGGGAAAATTACCCTGGATGAATTCGTCAAAACACTTTTAAGCACGGACGATGTGAGTTATTCATTAATTATGCATACATTGAAAACATCAAATGATAGACGTATTCTGATAAGACTACGTTATACGACATCTTTGCAAAAATCACCAGACTTAAAAAAATTATGATGTCATTAGAGAATAACTTTAAAATGAAGTTAGCCACGTTGATGATGAGATAGTAACTTATTGATACGACTAATTAATAATGACACTAGATCAAACATTTCACCAGATTTAAATTGTGAAGCAAGGTGTTTTTGTGACGACAAGTGAAGGTCTTTAATGCCCTACAGCTGGCTCCATCTTGTGATTGGAATCACCTCCTAACTATGGAAAACATACTAAAACCTTAAAAATGTTTACTATACTAATCAGTCAAAAATGTCAGAAAATATTATTCTCGTCATCTGATTTCCTTTCTAGAATGTTCACTTACTTATCAAAACCAAATTAATAGATAATTCTTAATAACTTATCGATATTTGTCACAATTCGTTATTCTACAACCACAAGATCCATCACTTTGATAAATACTTTCCTTTAAACGTGATACTTGTGTCTAAATTTATTTTTGAATAAATAATACGAAGTTTTATAGATAGAGACAGATGGTGTCTAGCAGTGATCAAGGTCGACAATAAGAGAGAACGTCGCGTCATTTTTTACACATCATGAAATTATACAATATACGCCTTTGAATTTGAATGTTCAATTAATCTTTGATAATTTGCAGATAATATGAAATTCTGTCATCTCGAGTGATTGCTGGATGTGCTATTTGAGTGCAGCTGATATTTGATGACTAGAGCAAAACTAGGTTGAAAAAACGTTATTAAGGATGGATAGAGTAAGACATATTGTCTGTATGTGAAATCACTAACTACAGATGTCGACTCTTTAAAGAAGCGTTTGTTATCTGACTTGTTTATTTGAAGGGTTAGGCATCAGAGGTTGAAGAGATGGTTTATATATATGATTGGCCAGTTTTTTTCCCTTATCACTAAACATGGATATTTTTTAAATCAGGCATTTCTAGTATTGAATTTATGTTGGCTTTTTTGTATAAATATTTACATTCTTTGTACTGAATATAGCAGACATGAATCTGTTCATAACTCGTCCAAATATTTGAAATATCAATCTCAATTAAATGTTTGCTTACATTAATATTTTCCAACGATTTTTTAAACAAACTCAGATATCATGTGACACTTATTTCTCTTCTTTTCTTCTTATCTGTTTTAAAATAGAATGCTGCTTCACCAAAAGCTGAATAACCTGTACGAAATCATTCACGCGTGCATGCATTTGTATTCTGTCAAGATAAGAGAGTAAACATTTTTTGTCTACCAATACCGGCTTTGTCTTATTTAGTGATTCCAGTTCATGTTTTAAATTATTTGAATGAGAGATAATTTGTGAACTATTGAAATTTGTTTAATGGCATATTTTTGTTAAGATAAATGTAATAAACTTCCTAAAAATAGTAGTTTTTTAATCTACATTTCTGTCCACATGGTTGTATATCTAGGTCTTTTGATACAAGAATGCTAAAATGATGTTGGTTCTTAATATGAAGTGGTATGTAATACTCAAATTGTATCTGGGGGAACAGTGGTAATTTATTTATCAGTAGTGCATTTATTGTCATTAATATAACAGTCAATAATAATGATAAGACTAATAGTCATGGACGAAACAGTATTTAGGTCACAATAAGAACAACATCATTGATCTGACTAGTCAAGAACTATTGGTTTAAATTTTTAAAAAAAACTGGAAATTAAGAACCACTGAATCTTGTAGCTGGTCCGTTTTTATTGTGGGACTTGTCAGTGATGTCCTCAAATTATTTCACAAACCTGTCGAACTTACAATGACTGAGTCTCGCGAAAAGTATGACTTATTTTCAGCCATTGAGTAGAGATCTAATAATTAATGCATTCAACTTTAACAGATTGACTATATAAAACGTGAACGGCATTTAATCCAGTGATCTGGTGTTTATATCCTCAATTCTGCTAACACTTTTATTCGTCTTTAAGAAGATTTTATGTAAAATTTTGAAAATTCTGGGGATAATGCTCATACATTAAATATTGCATATGAAATCTTTATCTTCCTATTTTAAATTTCATTTTTACTCCATAATTTTCTATAATATTTGTGAAGACGTGGGTTAATAACACGAAGTTTAACAAAAGGATCTATCTTTAACGAATATATAATCAAGAGGTATAATCATATATATATATATATATATATATATATATATATATATATATATATATATATATATATATATATATATATATATATCTTGTTAAAGCATTAGTTCCGTAAGGACATGTGAACAAGGAATGAACATGATGACTTAATAAAAGATTATAAAACTAGATTACTTAATGTGAATAATAACAATAAAAGGTTGTCTGTATGTATATAGGAAGCCTCGTAAAATTCGTAATCAGTGTAGTGGGCACTCCCAGGGTAACGACCGACCCTAAACGCAGGTAAAAAAAATAAGGGTTATGCATCAAGTCAACAACGCCATCCTGTAGAAAATAACTTTGCTAAAAACGCTAACTAGGTTGAACAACTTACACTACTTGAACTCTGCCCTCGGAGTTGAAGGATCTTTATTCAGAATTATTATGACGTCTCATGGTGAAAGCTGAGATTCCTCGATAGTCCCAATGCCGATACCCCCTCTAACAACCAGAGCAACAATTTATATAGGTACATGGAATGTTCGGAAAACGTAAGTGGATAGGAGGACGAATCAAGTAGCTACGAAAATGAGGAGATACAACTTGGCGGTGCTCATAATAAGTGCAACACATTAGACCGAAGCTTGACAGAAAAGGATGGATTCGGAAGAGATGCTACTGTACTCTGGTCACAAGGAAGAAAGTTCTCTACACACTCAAGGAGTCATTCTGAGGCTATCCAAAGAACCACGTAAAGCACTTGTACGATGTGAATCTCATGGACACAGGTTCATCAAATCATCCTTCAAAACAAGCAAGGGGGAATCACAATGAATGTTATCCATCGTTATACACCTTCCAACGATAATAACGATGATGATAAAGAATAGTTTTATGAGAGGCTGCAATCAATCATAGAGAAGTGATCAGGAAAGGACGTGACTATCCTGATGAAAGATCTAAACGCCGAAGTTGGAATGGACAATATGGAGTATGAAGATATCATGGGACGACATGGACTGACTGGACTAAACGGATATCCAGTGCTTCCAGGTTTTCAATGGTGGTCTAACATTGATCAGTTCATGATCTCGTTTAAAATCAATAAGTTAGCAACGTATTTTAATGTGAATGAAGTAAGTTGTCTAAATTGTTTTTGTTATAATAATCAAAAGCAACAGGGAGGGGGGTAAGATGAAATATAATAAATTCAAGTTCAAACACTACTTTCATTCGTATTGACCTACAGTAGTTTAGTTAAACCAGGCTAATAATTTGAATATTCGAGCTTTTTCCTACCAATGAGCAATTTTAGAACGTAAATTTTCACATAATGCGAAATTATAATACTAATTTCTTAAATATGGCTCAGTTTTTTTCGCAGTAAAATATCAACACTATTAGAATTACCGATGGATCCTAATTGGTCGTTTTTATTTTAGAACAACAAATATAATCGATTAGATCTTCATCAAGCTTTAATATACAGTAATATTTATATGCATATACGAAACTATTAAAGCAATGGCAACAGTGGAATAGATTACGTAACTAGACATAATAGGCGAAAAGTACAAATTAGTAGTGTGATGGCAAGTGTACCAGTTGGGGTAAGAATAAAAATACTTGAATCAATGTTTTGTAATAGGAAGTAGGTCGAAGACTTTAAAAAAATACTGAAATAACATTGATTAAAAATTATAAAATGGCGTAACACGGAGGTTAAGATAATTGAGCGGTGAAGCGTATATTTGGAAAAATGACAATGACTAAAAAATAAACGAACGGAGAGTATGGAAAATATAGATGTTCTTAACAAGTATATGTGTGATTAGATTGTTCGAAATGTATTGCGCTAATATATCACATAGTCCTGATAATCTTCGACTTCTTATTGCATTATCCAAAGTTGGTCACTTTATAATATAACGTAATTATCAATATAATTAGTTGGTTATGATCTCACAAGGATAAAATGAACCGGTTATACTGAAGTATGAATACTATACAAAAAAAGCAAACTATTTATAATATATATATTAGCTGACCAGAAAATTATTGCATTGTCTGTAGCGGTAAATGAATTTCTAAAGTAAATAGTCCTATTTGTCTTCGACATTGGTACTGACGTCAATGATTGTACTGAACGCACCCTAGCGGAAAGCGCTCAGTCACGCATCCGCACCAGATCACTAATGGGTACACGGTGCTACTCATCCCTTATATCTACTAGCCAGCTTAGATCAAATGTTTCTCGACTTATTAATGACCTGTAGAATATATCTTCGAGTACCTTCATTTCTGAGCTCTGATTTGAATGGGTTGGTATTCTTCGACTGAAAAGGTACTACAGGTAAAGGTATTGTCGAATTCCGAATATCTGTGGCATCTATATATCCTTTCCCAATTCGTTCAACGTAATCGATGTTGGAAATGCAGGATAAGGATTACTGTGTTAGGAAATGTATATTATCATCCTAAATGAACAGTATTCACAAAATACTTTTTAAAGTGTTATAACCTTTGAAGATTTAAAGCATATATATATATATATAAATATATATATATATATATATATATATTGTAATTGTTGAAACCATCGAAGTAAAATCATTACAATTACTACGATTAACCTGCATAAAAACTGACAAATGTGAAAAATCTAAAGTCCATGGATACACTGTCCAAAACAATACTTGATGCAGCTGACTATTAGCCACACAGTATTATTTCATTCCAACAAAGGATCTAAAATCAAAGGTATTAAAAAAGTAGAAAAAAAAAGACGTCTTATATCTATGACTAAACAATATCATAACTCAGAGTTTTAGGGTCATCAAATCTGTTGTTTTTTTCATTAGTGGTCTAACAGTGGTCAGCTCATAACTTCAATGGAGCTCAACAATCTTCACAACTCTATAATGACAAGTATCATCTGGTCTAGCTCCAAGTGGAAATTCCTAGAATCCTTATGAGAAGCCAAGACCACTAGAATTCAGCTGTCTCGAGTACCAGGAGGTTACTCAGCGAAGACAATGGACGACGGCCAAGCGATGTTGTTGGTTGATTGCAGTTTGACATTAATACATCCGGACGCTAAATCAGTGGTCCAAAGTTTAAACGTTCATACGCGTAGCCGAAGGTCCTTAGTTTGAGTCCCTCATGTGCGATCGTGGATGCATACTGTTGATGAGTCCCATACTAGGACGAAACGGCTATCTAGTTCTTCCAGGTTTTCGATAGTGGTCAAGCATTGATCGGTTCATGATCTCAATTTAAAAAATCAATTTGAAGGTGGACTGAGATAAGTTGAATGACCAATGAAAATTAATAAAGCACTGGTTAGATGAGCATTGAGTTACATTTTAAAATGACCAAAGTAAGAGACGTACCCGATAAACTGTAAATAATAGCCTGAATGATATGAGTCACGTCACGTTGATAGACACTGCTTAATAATAAAATAATTTTCTGTGATTACTTATTTTGGTGATTCTTTAACTTATATCAAGCCCATAAGAAAATTACATGGAATTTATAAAACTGCTCAAATAAGTAACTGATATTTCAGACAGTAACTGTATAGTTTTTCTTCATTATCACTATCTTGTTGCTGAATTTATCTGGCATGATGAGAAATAAATTGTTTTACACAGTGCTATTTAACTAAATGTTTGGTTGATGTTAATATGATTTCAGTTTACTTTGTGGCATTTATGACTTTTTTAATCCAACATTTGGTAACATAAATATTTTTTTAAGAACTCTCTGAATTAAGAACCGTAAAATCTAATGTACTTCTTAATACAGTCTAGTAACAGCAATAACTTTAATTGTGTATAATCATGTTACCGAAGGGTTATATAATTATTATTACCAGTTGATTTCATTTTAATATATGCTAAACATTATAGAGCACTGAAAATTCATTCAACTCCAGTTTGAATCCTAAAGATAATATAATAAACTAATATATACAGGGAATCTCCAATTAAATTTTCATAAACGTCTTCAAAAAAAGAAAGATTAAAAGATGGTGAGACAGATTTGTAGCTCAGGTGGATGATTTTGATGGAGTTTTGTTTTCTGACCTGGATGGTTCGGTCGTGGAGTTTTCATCGTTCTTCTGAACAACATCATCAGTGACAATGACAGGTTTAAGGTCAACAAGAACCAATCAACACCGAGGTCTACTGGACAAGCTGTGAACCATATGTGGAGAAATCCGAACACTTCACTTCTACCTGAATTTTGTGCTGATGATGTCGTTCAGAAGA